CAGACTGTGCAGGCTGGTTATGTGGACACTCTCGAGCATAGTGTCCTTCCTTGACACATTTGAAACAAGCACTAGGCTTGTTCCCCTGCCCCTGACGAGGCAGAACCTGCTGTCCCTGGGGCTGCTGTTGCACCTGCAGAGTAGGTGCACGGTATGGAGCGGGAGGTGCCTAGTAGGTCTGCTGAGGCTGGCAGAACGACTGCCCACCCGAAGACTGATAGGCACCCGCTTGACAACCTACACCTTCTAAGCCTAAGGGTGACTGGAAGACCTAGTAATCACCCGCTTGTGCTTCTACTCAGCCTGAGAGTCATGCTGAAGTCCCTCCATGGCAATAGCAGCATTCATCATAGCACCAAAAGTCTAGTAGTTCCCTGTGTATAGCTCCTTCTGCAGACTGCAAGAGAGGCTACGATAGAAACGGTCCCTCTTCTTCTCATCAGTATCGACGTGGATCCTAGTATACTGTGCCAGATTGTTAAACTTGTTCACGTAATCCATCACAGATATGCTACCTTGCCTTAGGTCTAGGAACTCCGTCAACTTCCGGTTCGACACACCAGTAGGAATGTAGTACTCTCTGAAAGCGACAGTAAACTCCTGCCAAGTCATATGGTGATCCACTGGCTGCATGGCATTGAATGTGTCCCACCATGCACTGGCAGAACCCAACATCTGCTGTGCTGCAAAGTGCACCTTCTATTCTTTAGTTACAGTGAGCAGCTGAAACTTCTGCTCCAGAATATGAAGCCAATGCTCTGCATCTAGAGGCACTGCGGTCGGCGTGAACGTGGGTGGGTGCGTCTTCAAGAAATCCTAGTAAAAACAAGGTCCCTCGGGACCATGGGTCCCACCCCCGTTCCCGCCATTGCCTCCGTGGCCCCCACTGGCGAAGCCACCAATCGCCTGGGCTAGCATCTCTAAGGCACAGGCTGACTCGCGTCGAGCAGCCAACATCTCTGCCATCATCTCCGCATGGGTGATCGGAGGTGGTGGTGGCAGAGGAGGAGGAGCTAGAAGTGCAGCCTCATGGCTCTCCCCATTGGTGTTGCCAATGCCCTCACCACGACCGTTATCACCTGGGTATGCCCCTGCGCTGATACTCCCGCGACCAGACCTTAGGTTCATCTATAAATAGATAAGAACCAACCATTAGGGACAACCCTCCAGATTAGGAACATGAGACTTAGAGAAATGATAAGACTTTTATTAAACCATTCTTTTAGATTATCCTATCAATTTACTAATCCATATTATACGTGTGGGGGAAGTCTAGTTTAAGCAAGATTCTCTTTTCATGATGCATGCATCGGCCTACATGTTCACTCAAGTCGGAATATAGCAGCATTCGCAAAAATTTTCGGCACATCGTACACTCACTTTCCGCTTGCTAAACGATTCTTACGCAGTGAAATTTAAAACCAGTGTATCTACAAAAACTTGATTAGATAAAACCAGTGATGCTATTCTAGATAGACCATATTGTTAGGACTTATACTTATTTACATAATTTTATCTCATCCTACTTTTCGTAAAACTTTTGTTGGTCAAATTTTAGGTTTTGAAAAGAGTTATGAAACTCGTAGACTCATTATTGGCTCTGATACCACTTATGGCAGAACCGCCCGAAATAACACACCTTCGGAGGCGCTTGTCTTCCACCAGACACTAAGCACCCCAAAAGCAAGCTACAATGGATGGATTCCATCGAGTACACCCCAAGGGAGAACTCGAATAATCCACATTTTTTCCTCTAGGATCCAATAATGAGAACGAGTTTACAATACTGGCTCCTCGACTGTTATCAACCAGGAAAACAGCTCGAGAACACGCCAAGCACAGATTTTTAAGCGCTCGAGAAACCTAAACCGTCGATCCAATTCCCAAACCACCTTTGCTATACCTTAGAGGGTATATTAGGCTACTAAAACAAGCCATAATACAACACCACACCTTAACCCAATCTCACATAATAAATTGCCAAACATAGCAGTGTCTAACTGTCGGCAGACTTGAAAATTTCTAAGTGTTAGAGCTGAATTTGATTTCTAGTTGCGATCTCTAAGCTAGCGGAAATATTAGCTAGCAATATCATTTTTCGACCGCGAGTATTTCATTGTCATCTACAAAGTTTGCACTTCGAACCTTATTTAAGTATCACATACATGTTCTATAACATTTTTGCTTAATAAAAATTAGTTTTAAACCCTAAGTGATACAACATGACTATTGAATTAACTTTCGTTTCGCACTTCTGTTGATCGTTTTGAGTTACGGAAATTGATCTACACTCTTTATTACATGCATTAACACATAAACATGATGCTCATGACATGTTTTAGTAAATGATTTATAGTGTAACATCGAGGGTGTTATAGTTGCTCTCCCCGTTGTGGACCTCGTTCTATGGATGGCAGGGTTTGGGCACCATTCCACGTTTGAAAGGTCCTAAATGGCTAGAGGGTGAGTGAATAGCCTATAAAATTTCTACAAAGACACTAGAGCAACTTGTTAGACAACTAAATGGTGAAATGCAACTTGCTCTAGCTCTACTAAAAAGGCAAGCTACCTACCAACAATTCTAGTCAATTATGATCACTAGGCACTCAATGGCTATGCATGTCGCTACTCTCTACACTAGTTGAGCTAGCTAGGAACTAATTACAACTAAGAAGCTAAGCTACGCAACTAGCTTCAACTACCACAAGCTCTACACAAGGTAAATACACAATGTAATATAAGAGAATGGTAGAGGAGATATACCGTCGTGGCAAGTGATCAATCGATGAATACCAAAGAATACCAAGGAGACAATGATGACACAATGATTTTTTCTCTGAGGTTCACTTGCTTACTGGCAAGCTAGTCCCCGTTGTGGTGATTCACCCACATAGAGGTTCATGAGCTAATAGGCATCACACGTCTAACCCACAACCGGGTGCCACACAACCAACACAAGATGGGGATCCACAAGCCACGCGCAATCTACTAGAGTTGTCTTTTATGATCTCCCATGAGGAAGACACAAGAACCCCTCACAATCACTTCGATCGGAGCCGGCAACAATCACCAATAGCCACTCAACGATCCTCCAATCACCGGGCCGTCTAGGTGTCGGCAAACACCAAGAGTAACAAGATCTCCACCAGCCCAAATCGCCCAACTAGTGCCACAAGATGCAAGACCACTATATAATGCACTAGAGGCTCTCCAGTCTCACTCAAATGATAAAATCAAGTGTGAAAGTGAGTGGATTGTGTTTGCTCAGCTCTCAAAGGGTGTTCTCAGGTGTAGGAAGTCCCAAGAGAGTGGTCAAGGCTGACCACCACCTCTATTTATAAGCCCACACTCAAAACTAGCTGTTATACCCCTTGGAGCGTTTTCTGCGAGGGCACCAGACATGGGGGGCGGTGCCCCAATGGTCGAACTCCAACGGCTCAAAAACTAACCGTTGGTCACCAGACAAGGGGTGGCGGTGGCATCGCCCTAGAGGGGGCGGCGACCACCCAGGCCAAACCCCCGAAATCCCAACTCTCTGGAAAAAAGCGGCGGTGGCACCGGACAGCCCCCAGCGGTGCACCGCCGTGCCAAGGGCGGTGTACACCGGTCAGGGCAGTGCCACTCCCTTCTCTGCTGCTCAGAACCGAGGCCAGGTGGGCACCGCCCTAGGGGTGGCGGTGCCACCGGACAGGCAGGGGCGGTGCCCCAGGGCAGCACCCCAAGTCTGACAATGCCTCCTTTCTTCACCTTTGCCAATATGCTAACACTCCCAAGTGTTTTACCGTCACGTGCAAGTGTGTTAGCATTTCCACAATCATTTTTCAAAGGTTAATCACTTCTCACCGATTGTACACTAGGCCTAAATGCAACGGAAGTATTCCAACACCTAGTAGCACTAGATGATCGAGTTGTCCGATGAGAGCTCCCCTCTTAAGATTTTAGTTATTATAGGTTTTAAATTTCCCATCGAACGTCCAATACTCATCTATCCTAAGATTTTACCCCGTTCTCTTCGTGTGTTTAGGCTAGATAGATCGTGCCGGATAATCATGTTTTAATGTTATGTCCACGTCCAGGTCCAGTTAGATCGATCAGCCCTTATGCGCAAAATGACATCCATGCCACCCGAATCAGACACGTCTGCATGCTAGTACTAGCCGGTGGTACATTGTAGTATTTATTTATTTATATACATTTATATATGCAGCTTGCATGCGTGCTGCTCACAGATGCATTGATGCCGAATGATTCAGCTTGACTGGATCTGTTCATTAACCAAACCAAACCAAACCGTGCTGGCAGTGGCAGAAGAATAATTTTTGTACTACGCGAGTCCATAACTTCTTGAGAGCAGGAGCAGAGCAGAACGGCAGCACTGCTGTAGTATTATACTGCGGTGCGGCCACGGGGAGGGAGGAAGCGCCATCGAAATGCATGCTAGAGAACGCTCCGAGATGACGAGGACGCGCGCCAGCCATAATAACTGCGTCGCGCTGCGAGGCGCGCCCGGCGATTCTGAGCTGAGCCAAGCTAGGTAGCCATAAATATGCGGCGAGCCATGCCCCGCCGCGCCATTGCTTCCCCTCGCGCACAGGCGTGCGAGCACGCACGACCTTCATACGGCCACATCTAATACAACTCCTGGTCGCCCTCGTTGCTGTCGCCTGTGTCGGCATCGTCTTCGTGTGCTCAGTCGATTTCCGGGCTGGCTGGGCCGGCGCACGCAAGGGTTTCCATGTGAATCCAACCGGGGATCCTGTGATCGAGCGCCCGGCCGGCGCATGCGCATGCATCCCGTTATTTATGGCCACTTCCACCAAGCTCTGATGCACCTGCTGTGTCCTATTCCTATATATCCGCATGCAAGCACAAGCGTCCCCTCCGAACTCGATCGGTATTTTTGCTGTGTTTGCTCTGTTTCTCCTTTGGCATAGTGTGTGTGTGTTCTTGCCTTTCTGCTAGCTCGTCGAACCAGCACAGCTCCTACTAGGAAGCGAGAAATGAGAACGCGGGAGTCCTGTGGCAGTTGCCGGAGATGGTGGGCTCCAACACCAACCCCAGCAGCGGTCGTGTTGGTGCTCCTGCTGGTCATCAGTTCGTCGTCGTCGCACGTTGCCGACGGCGTCAGAACGACACCACGTAAGTTGATGATCTGAGCTGCAGTAACTATTTATTTTCTCCTCTTTCAGTTCAACGCGGTCAGCTTTCATGTTTCAGAACTTGGACACGCTTGCACAACTAACTTGCAGCCATATTGATTGATGCCGAGCACGAGCACTGCCGGTCCGGCGACGTAGTAGAGTACGTGCATCGTAGTAGGCACACGTACTGACGTGTCAGGCCGACGTGGCCTCCGTTACCATCAGATGACATGACAGCACATGTGGCATCTGAACACGCGCTGACGTTCTTTTATTGTTCATACTCCTACAATGCAACCTGTTTACTCCCTGTGTAACTGAAACAACAAATAAACAGGGATCTGACAATGGTTCGTCTTCTCCATGTGCCGCAGGTGCGTCCGGTCCAGGTGACGCCGGCGTGCTCGACGACGCGGAGGCACCGCCTGCCGCTGGTGCTCATCACGCAAGCAGCAGGGCAACCTACAAACCAGCAGACCGGACCGAGGACGAAGAAGGCTCGCTGGTGGTGCTGGAGGAGGAAGATGAGCAGTGGTGGCTGAAGGAGCGCGCGGCGACGGGGTCGCGGCTGCCGGACTGCGCGCACGCGTGCGGGCCGTGCTCCCCGTGCCGGCGCGTCATCGTGAGCTTCAGGTGCGCGCTGGCGTCCGAGTCCTGCCCCATCGCCTACCGCTGCATGTGCCGCGGCAGGTTCTTTCGGGTGCCCTCCCTCTAGCCTACACGACTCACGGCTGCTCATGCTCATGGATGGATGGATCATATCCCCAGCTCTTTTTGCCCCCCTTTGGTTACCAGTTAGCCAGGCATTTGGCGGCTTGGCGCCAACCTTTCGATCTCACTCTCTCTTTGCTTGGCGTGTAAACCTACCTATGCGATGTCAGGGACGCTTGTCGGTGTTGTGCTGTATATGACTAGCCGTTGTTCTCTGTCAGTGTGATACTAGTGCTAGACTGCTAGTGGTTAAATAAGTAGTGATTGTGATGCTGCTCTTCTCTTGTTTGGGCGTACTTCTACGTTCTATCTTTGCTCTTGCTCAAGACCCGTTGGAAACACAAGAATTCTCACGCTGCAAACAGGAGAGGACCTTATCTGTAGCCTGTAGGTTGTGTCTTACCTTGGTGATGACTGCCTGCGCTACAAGACGCTGTTGCTAATTGCATGGTCCATTTCTGGGGAAACGACGCTGCACTATTCCTCCTGGGTCCTGCCCCGCCGTACATTATGGGAAAAAAAATGACAGTTAAATCGAGCACGTTCAGGTGTAGCCTCGCCAGCGCACAGCATGAATGTGCAGTAGCAGGAGCAGTGGACTTGTTTATCGGTGAGCGGCTGAGCGGGGGTCTACCACCGATGCGTGCCTGACAGCCTGAGCGCGCGCGCCCACCGCAGCAGTGCTGCGCTATGCCTGCCGCCCAGCACGATACCAGTCGGCAGGCCACTGCTCTCTGACTCGTACGCTCGTCACGCCGCTGTTCGGAGCGTCACCAAGCGCAGCCACCACAACGACGTGCAGCTGCTGGCTGCTATGGACGCCATCGCAAAAACGAAAAGCAGCTACTACTATTAAACTACTGAGCTCAACAGAGGCTGGTGTCATACTTACTGCTCTCTAATATCAGAAAAACCAAAACTTACAGAAGTCAGGTGAGAACACGAGTGCACAATTCCAGCTACAATTTCGCAGCTACCATTCAGGACCAACCAACAAACTACCTGCTGTCATATTCACAGACAAGGATTCTCACGACGATCATGTACCTCCGCACCAGTCATCGCCTACCTCGGGCCGGACAGTTCGACGGCCCTGATGTTGTAGGTGGAGTCGACGATCCAGTCGTTGTGGCGCGGGGCGAGCTCCGCCTCCTGCCGCATCACCTCCACCTTCTGCCACTGCTCCCACCGCTCCGCCAGCCCGTCGCCCTCCAGCATCCGCACCACCTCCGACATCTTGGGCCGCTCCATTGGGGACCCCTGCGTGCACAGCAGCGCCACCTGGATCAGCGACTCCACCTCCTGGTCCGCGTACCGGCCCTGCAGGTCCGGGTCCACCAGCTGCTCCAGCTTCTTCTCCTTCAGCAGCGCCTTCACCTGCAAAACCACAGCACCACCAGCAGCTTCTTCATTTCTTTACATTCCTTTCACAGGTTTCAAGCATTTAACGAAGCCAGCTCTCATGGTGTACCGAAAGACAGACGCGCAGTACAGTACAGTACTTTACTTACCCAGTCAAGGAGCATGACATCGTCATCGTTCGCGAGACGGGCGAGGTCGAACGCCCTCTGCCCAGTGATGAGTTCCAGGAGCATGATCCCGTAGCCGAAGACGTCCGTCTTCTCAGAGGACTTTCCGGTGGACAGATACTCGGGGGCGATGTGGCCGATCGTCCCACGTACAGCAGTCGTCACGTGGGTGTCCTTGTAGTCCATGAGCTTGGCGAGGCCAAAGTCACCCACCACAGCTTCAAAGTCTTCGTCCAACAGGATGTTGGCGGCTTTCACGTCGCGGTGAATGATTTTGGGATCACAGTGGTCGTGCAAGTAAGAGAGACCTCTGGCTGATCCCAGCGCGATCCTGGCCCTTGTTTCCCATTCGAGAGGGGGCTCATTTGGCGTGCGTTCTATACAAAATCAAAGCATCAAGAATGAAATCAGAAATATGCAAACTAAAGTTGGACTACAGAAAACAGACAAACAAAAGTAAAAATGGTTACATGCTTTTGACACAAATTTCTAGCACTTTGTTTTCAAATAAATGCAGAAGAACAGATTTGAGCGGTGAGAAAGAATAAGGTACCTCGAAGGCGCGACGCGACACTCCCATTAGCCATGTATGGATATACTAGCAACCGCTCTGTAGGAGTCATGCAGAATCCACGGAGCCGAAGCAGATTCCTGTGCACTGCCATGCTAATCAATTCAACTTCTGTTTGGAACTGGAGTTCTCCGCCAGGGGTGCGCTCCTCCTTTAATCTCTTCACCGCTACCAGTGAACCATCCGACAGTCTCCCTTTGTACACCTTTCCAAAACCACCTCTTCCTAGGACATTCCTATTGTTAAAATTATCTGTGGCGACTTGAAGCTCTCTCAATGAGAACCTCTTGAGTTGTCCAAGGTGAACTTCAGGATCCTCCTCAGCTGAATCGAAAGGAGAGCATATAAATTAAATGAATAGCACAGATGACAACAACCGCACAGTGGTATATAATACCGACCAGGGACATCAAAGAATTGCTCTTCAGGTTTTCGCCTCCGCCACAATGCGTATCCAATAGCAGGCACAGCAATCAGAAATGCAGTGCCAGCCGCAACGCCTCCAGCAATTGCTCCAGTGCTGGACACGCCTGAGGGAACAGAATTAACACAGTTAGGACATGTCATGTACCATAGTTTGATCATGTCAGTGCTTCGCTCTTATGCATATCTCAAACAGTACCATGATATGACAGAATATACAGCCAATCACCGTACCTTTTGATGAAGCTGGTGATGGGGGATTGTATGGAGGGGGTGGAGAAAATGGAGGAGCCCCAGGACAAGGCTTTGTAGTACCAGGGCCACAAAGATTTGGGTTGTTAGCAAAACTGTGACAAAATCACAAAAAGGTTAGAATTGTCAACATCAGAAGACACAGGTTTTTGTTTTCAACTGGCAGGAGAACTGCATCAGAAGATGCAATTAAGCATCCAAATTCATCCAGAAATTACCTTATAGGTGTAAACAGAGAAAATGAACCACTTGATGGCACCCCTCCTGAGAGATTGTTGTTTGAGAGATCCCTGCAAGATTGTCAAAAACACTTTTTGCTGTTATCTAACATCCTGAACAGCTGTAATGATGTATAAAAGGGAAACAGGTAACTTACAGAACTTGGAGAGTGTTGATATTGGTTAACGTTTTCGGAATTTGGCCAGAAAGACTGTTGTTATTAAGACGGCTGTCCTTGCAAGTAGATATCCAAAGAAATAAAAACGTTACAATCTTTCCAATAGTCAATAGATAAGTTTAGAGATAATGTAATAAGTAACAAGGCAAGAACTAGACAATGGATTTTGCCTTTCATTTTAAAAATCAAAAGAAAAAGACACAAATGGACAAGTGAATGATTGATGTTATGAAAACCTTAGTATCTACTAACACAAAGTGAAGAGTGCATTTGGAGGATAACTTTGTGCAAACCTATTGTTGGGCACATCATGCATATATTACTGTTCTGTAAGAACTTTCTATTTCTCCACATCATTGTCAGATAAATCATGACCGAATAACAATCAGATAATTTATACTAACAGGATCAACATATATTGATAGACAATGCCACATGAACATATCACTTCTGTAACCAGGGCAATTGAATTAACTTACAGAAACCGCAACTTTGATAGTTGGCCCAAGGTGTCAGGAATGCCTCCAGTGAAGTTGTTGAGGTACAGATCCAAACTGACCAGGTTAGTTAAGTTCCCCAGTTCAGGTGGTATTGGCCCACTTATGTTGTTACTGTAAAGTTCTCTGTTGCAAAATGATGAAACATAAATTCAACACAAAGGCGACCTATATATTGTAGGGTACTGGAGGGTACAATATTTATTGGAAAATATATACGGTAAGAAATAGTAAGAGAAGTGAGAACTGTTGGGCGTCAGGCAAAAGGAGACATAATACACCCAAAAGCATGCACACATGTTTCAGAAGCTCCACAAAAACTAAGCAATTATGCTAAACCAATATTGGGATTGAAAGATGCACCTATATGGCATCATGAAACTATTACCTCAATTATCAAAATCATGGATGTGGAAACTTACAGATATTGCATATTTTTCAATTGCCCAAGCTGTGGCACCAACGGACCTGATAGTTGTGCATTTCCAAGATCACTAGCAAAAGGGAGACAGTAGATATTCAAATGGTCAGTCTTTCACCTCAAAGGGAGAATAAACAAAAAGATCTTTGATCAACTTACAGTCTGATGACACTGTTATCAGGGTTACAAGTAACATGGAACCATGTACATGGATTAACCAGAGTTGGATCCCAACTCTGCAGCACATTGTTGTTATCTTTTAGGCTTTGTCGTAGGCTGTATAGAGCATCACCTGCCATTGAGGTATCATCACAATAAGCAATAATCTACCCATTAGAAATTTAAGAGGATGCATAAGCTTTGCCCTTCATTAATATGCCGTTAATATAGTAATGTTCTTATATGTGGTTAAACGCTTGTCTTTATTTTGACTTATGCACATCTTTTATTTCAGCAGACAATACCTTTTTCAATAGGTAAAAAAAACGTACCAAATGTAACGCATCATGGATTCAACGCAATATGACTAGCATCTAGAGTAGTAATTACTCTTATACGGGTTCAGTTACCTTGGTAGTATCATCTTTTAATCATGAGTACATACCCAAACGTTACTATCCATTTCAAGGATACAGCCAACATGTAAAAATCACTAGCATTTAAGACAATGTGGTTTCTTTCCACACGTGTACTAGGAAGATGATAAAAAAAAACACTGAACAATGCACTCTTAATGATTAGGCCATGCTTTTCGATTCTTCGCAATTAGTTCGCACGTCCGAAGGACGCTCAGTTTTAAGAAAGTAACGTACACATTCTTTTTTTTCCCATTATGTAGGTTCAGTTCATTTTAAATGGCACCGCCTTATTTAGATAGCAAGTACAGGTTGTTCGTTAACAACGTACCGTTAATA